AAAAAATAATAATAATAATAAATAAATAAAATTTAACAATTTACGTGGTGCAGTTTTTTGATAGGACGAGAGTCTTCTCCAACTCGAGGGACGAGTTTCTTGGCGAAGGAAAGTCCACGCTTATAATTTGCTTCTGCAGCAGATAATTTCTTATTGAAATCTGGGTCGATTATGTTTCCCTTATTTTTCTTGTGCTTTTCCTGTTCATCAGAATCAGCATAGAACAAATCTGCAAGTGTAATTCTCTCTTTCTTCATGTTCTTGATATCACAGTCAGAAGCAATGGTGCCCTTTGCAGTATTATCACAGATTGAATCTTCGAAATCATGTGCATAAGCTGCGTGCATCAATGGGTTCAACTCTTGCTCCTCCTCGTCTACTTCTTCTTCTTCTGCTGATTCGTTACTCACGTCACTTTTATCTTCACCTTCCTTTTCCTCGTCATCGTCCCTATATAGATACTCTTTTTCTTCAGTTTTAATCGAATCAAATCCAAATGTTCCGATTGTTAGTATTCCTCCTTTCCAACCATCCAGCACGTTGCTAAGTGCAATGTCTTCAAGTAGGATGTTTTTATCAGTGTCCTTGGCACTTTTATTCTCATTTCCACCAATTCCATCTGCCAAAATTAATTTTAATTAACCCAAACAAGCTCAAATGTTGAAAATATGAAAAATTATTTCTATGTTCTTCGTTTTTTGTCATATTTCCAGGTCTCGATTGATTACTTCCCCAATGTTAGACCGCTATAAATAGGGATTTTTTTTTATTTATTATTTTTTTTCGTAAATTATTTTCTTGTTATAAAGAGGGTTTTTCCGTTTTGTAATTTTTAGATAGAACATTTTTACAAATATAAAAAAAAATAGCATTTTACTTTACTAAAGTATGCTTGCATATGAGTAGAAGAAATGGTATTAGCTAATGACGCGCACGCGCACACACAAAAAATACCTTTGTAATTAAACTTCCGGTGCATCCAATTGAAGATCTATAGAGAATCAAAACCAAAAATAAATGTTATAACAGCCTAGAAGAAATAAGGAGGCACGTAGCAAAAATTAAGAATGTGGGCAACCAATGGAAAATATGCACGTAAAAATGCATGTACCTTCATTTTTTGCGCAAAAGGTTTGAAGTTGAAATGTGCAGCCGAGAGAGGTGGCAATGGGAGAAATTGGTAGTGGCTAAGGGAGGAGTTGGGGGGGCCAAAAACCTTAAATGGATGAAAGTCTTAAATGGTCGAGACGTGTCCAATGATAGAGGGCCCGCTAGTATAGACATGTTTCAAGACTCCATGGCAGGTTCCTCATGACCGTTAACATCCTTCTAAATGGCAATTTCGATGCAAGCCAAATTCGTGAAATGATTGATGTATAGTATAATGCTATGTCGTATTTAGTATTGGTCTGCGTGACAATTCCATATGTGTGTAAGAGACAGAAAGAGGAGGCAAATCTAGGCCATGTAAATTAACTTTTATTCTTGTGGCCAACTTCTTTGTAGCAGGACGTATGAAAAGAGTTGTAGTAGGTCGAAAGTTAACATAAAGCTTTTCACATCTTATTCTTACTGTGTTTGCACCTCTTCTTTTGATAATTCGTGCTTTTATGTACTAATATTAGAGCATAAAGGGGACTATTCCCTTTTCAACAATAGTAATGCCTTTTTTGCGATCAAATATATACACAACAATAATAAATTTAAGCCTTTTCAGAAAATATTAGGGTCGTGTAACATAAATCTTTTATCGTCACTCTATTCGAATTATTGTTAAGCTTACACAAATCGAAAGAAACTAGATCCTTACAATTATTGAAGGCTATATCATTTCTAGTCTAGCTTCCCATTTTTCGTATGTTCTAGTGATCAGTCATTATAGCCATATGTCTACTCTATACTCAAGAAGCACATGTAAATTTGATGTTGAATATTGAAGAAGATTTCATGTCAAGCGGAAGAATGACCATCCTATTGACTATGCAGTACAA